AAAAAAATTGGGAGAGACAATACTATGTATTTTTTTTTCCTTTAGTATCTAAAAGAAAAGTAACACAGTCAAACAAAATGCTTGGCAGAGTATTAACTTAAGTCATTCACATTTGAATTTTGAAATAGAATACAGTAAAAATTAGCTGTTACATTCAAAGCAGTTAAAAACAAAATATTGAAAGATGTTGCACTCAGAAGCTAAGAAAAAAAGGGGTTGTAATTTATACTGCACAAACTCCACAACAATGAAAGAATATGTATGCTTATATCTGATAGATAGATTAGCTGCAACTCCTAAACTAGGGATCTTCAAAAGATTTCTGATGCAAAACGGTTATTGTAAGTGTTGTATTTGTGAAACAAAACTGTTTTGACAGTTTGGTTTTGAAGTTGAAACAAAACACACCGTTTTTGTTCCAAACATTAAACAAAGCTTAGTTGTTTCCAACGGCACTCTCTGGATGGCATTCTCTGGATTGTTCTAACTGCTCAGGGAAGTTTGGACTTCTTTTGTGGATTGGTGTATGTATTTTTTTTTTCAAATATTTTCCGGCCAAATCTAGTCCTGTTACAGTTGATTTTGACTGGATGGGGAATGTGGGAGTGGAGTGTTGAGAGGAAAGAAGCAGTTATCTACATGCTTGGCAGCTTGCCTAGGAATCAATCTCTCTCTCTCTTTCTTTCTCTCTCTCTCTCCCTCCCTCCCTCCCTCCTCCCCCTCCCCTCTCTTAATACTATGTTGAACTTCATACAAATGGATAGATGAGCTGCATCTGTGTTGTGCTAGCCTTTATTTTACAGGCAGTTAATATGAAGTTCTGCATGCATGATTGTACTTCTTGCTCAGCTGTTGTATTTTAGAAGTACTAAGTACAATGCTGGTTGATTTGCTAAGTTTGTGTGATTTCTGCTCTGTTTGCTTGCTCTTGTGCCCTGTTGGGGCTGAACATGAAGATTCCGTGAATCGAGGATGCACTTGGCATTTGTGTACATTCTGTACATATTACTTAATCTTGTTGAAATGTACTACATTCATTTTCATTTCAGAATCATAGCTTGTTGCTCCAAAAAGGGTAACTACAAAAAACAATACTGTCACTTTTCTTGACTTGTATTTGGCATGTAGGCTGCCAAACACCCAAAACATGTTAAATCCATCGTGGTTTTGCTAAATGGTGTGGCACATCCAGAGAGAAAAAAACCCCACCAAGGATTCCCCCCCCCCCCAATGCAGAATGTTAAGATAACCTTATAGGGAATATGAGCTAATTGAAAGGGAATTTTAAAGAGATTAGGTGCTCTCTTTGTCTTCTAATCTTTTGCCTGAGCAATTCAGAGAGTTTGCATAAATTGGAAAGCTTGTATCTGTTCTTCCTGATAACAGTTTCAAAACTGATTTTTCAAAGAGTGAAAGCAAAGTTGTGTTCCCATTGATTCCTGAGGGCAGCGGGCCCCAACCTTTCTTGCACCAGGGACCGATTTTAAAAGAAAAATTGTCTTCCCCGGACTGGGGGTGGGATGGTTTTGTGCACATCCTACTTATGCACAAATGAAGCTTTGCTCATTTACCTGCTGCTTGTGCAACTAGGTTCTAATGGGCCATACTGTTCCATGGCCCAATGTTGGGGATCCCTTCCTAAGTTGATATATTTAAAAGTTTAAACAATTTTTTTTTTAAAAAAAAAAATCTTCCCTTCAAGTCATTTTTTTTAGTAATCAGTAAACTTCATTTTTTTGTAGCCTAAAAGAAAAAAGAAAACCCTGCAATTGAACTTAAGTTTTCTTATTTCTGATTCTTTGAGGTAGACAGGCCAGGGAACAAATAGTGCAAGGACTCCTGGAACTCTACTTTATTGCTATAGGGTGCAATAATAGAATCTTGAAAGCTTACCAGGTTTTTTTTTTCCTGTCATTGCTTATGCCAAGTACCAGAAACAAGACAGAATTGAGTCTCTTTCTCTCTTTCCCAGGACTGAGTTGTCATTAATCATAGACCATAGAAACATAGGGTTGGATGGAACTTTAGAGGTCTTCTAGGGCAACTCTCTGCTCAAGGCAGGAGAACTTATACCACCCCAGTCAAATGGTTGGCCAGTCTATTTCTGAAAACTTCTAGTAATGGAGCATGCACAACTCCAGGAGGCAAGCTGTTCTGTTGATTAATTGTTCTAACAAGTTTTGAAAAGTATCTCTGACTTTTCTACCTGGATGGATACAGCAATCTCCTAGGAAAAAGGGCATGCTTGATTTGGCAGTTGCAGGCAGATGTTACTGAATGAATGAATGAATGAATGCTTTATTGGGCCAAGTGTGATTAAACACACAAGGAATGCTCTCAGTGTACATAAAAAGAAAAGATACATTCATCAAGAATCATAAGGTACAACACTTAATGATAGTCATAGGGTACAAATAAGCAATCAAATCATACTAGGAAACAGTCAGTATAAATTGTAAGGATACAAGCCACAAAGTTACAGTCATACAGTCACAAGTGGAAGGGGATGGGTGATAAGGAGAGATGAGAAGATTAACAATAACAGTAGTGCAGACTGTATATGTATGCACAAGAATCTTAGTCCAGATCAGCTTTTTTATCTTTCAATCCAGATTTTGTAATGCCATAATAGTACTGTAATAGCTACCTTCAAAGTATAACACTAGCAGTATAGGGAATATTCCCAGAAAGTTTATTGACATAACAATGAAAATAAAGAAATAAACAGCCACACATTTGGATTATCATACATATACAATATACTTGACTACAAAAAATGTTTTTATGTTTAAGGTGGTGGAGAAGAGTAGGAAGAAGGGGGGAAAAAGAGGGACCTTCTGAGTGTTCTTTAGTTTGTGAATACTACTAGGATTCTTCTGATTTATGGAAATATTTTCATTGTTAATTACTACTGTGGACAAGATAATGAATAACTGGAGAGGTGCAGCCTAGATGACCTTGTCTGTTCACCTTTGATAAACAGCACAATCGGTGCCTTCTGACAGACTGATATGCTCAACAAAATGAATGCTTCTGAAATTCAAGTTCATTTTTCAATTAATGGGATATTAAATAATTAATCATGCAAAAGGAGGAAATAAAGGTCAGGACTACTTTATTTATCCCTTCAAACAACTTGCAGCTATGTAAGGGTGGGATAAGGGACCTTTACACTATAAAATTAATCCTACCTGCTTGCAACACAGCCATCCATTTTCTTGTTTTACAGTTCTCTAATTAATTATACTTAAAAGCAAGCACTCTTTCACTTTTATAACTAGCAATTAGGCTTTCACTTTTATGTGGTTCCAATTGATAAATGGTTGAATGCTACACTGCATCTTCCTCATTAAGTTTGACAATGTAGCACGGATGTATTTAAGCCAATCCTCGTCTCCTGGGTGATTGCATGATGTCCAGTGTTGTTCCAGAATGTGAGAGGGAAATAAGTGTTTATGCTGAATCAGCTTCCTCTGGGCTAGTGAATCACTGTCAAATTATTGGAAATATCAGATTGGATCCATAGTGATAGTCTGTTCCTGTTCAAATCCCCTGAGCAGATGTTTATCTGGAAGGTTTCCACAATTGCACATTTGTCTCTGTTAACTGATTAGGGTTTCACCTGTTTTTTTAAAAAGACAATTGATACCATGTTGCTGAAATCATAGACAAACACAGGGGTAAATAATAATAATAATAATAATAATAATAATAATAATAATAATAATAA